AGCTATCATTAGCCATTTAGCTGACTTCGGGCCTCACAGAAGGAAGATCCATCAAATTAGAAAAATTCGAGTGATGGGGAACGGAAGAGCGATTCACAGATGTAAAAGAGGCAGCCAGACACAAAGGTAGAGAAAAAGGTAAGATGAGTACTGTGAAAGGGGTCGAATATGACAAGCAGTCGGGCCATGGTAGTTTGAAGTCAGAAGTCAGGTGCCGGTTAATAGACATTTTGGCCGTATGAGTATACGTTGCTCAGGGTGTACCACGTGGAGGTAAGTCTATCGCACACCCCCATTTAAAATACACAGTCGGAGCATTCTGTCAACATTGGTTTCTTTCATGTCCTATTTGTATTTTTCATTTTTATACCTCAGTCTAATTTTTTGAAACAGTAGAAGGGATTTCTGAAAATTTATTAGAGTATAAATGAAAATAAGTAAAATCAAGTGAATACATGAAATAAGAAGTATTTTCAACTGTTGCACTTGCAACCTTTTCGGTCAATTACAATTTTGCTCACTATCCAACTTAAATCTTAAAACAAATTTTGGGTCAAAGTTGAAAGGAAGCAACATGTGTGAAATTTGAAAGACACAATTTGATTCAATTCCATAGCCCCGCCAAAAGTGTATAAATATATCCCTTTTTATTACTTATTATTTACTATTACAAATTCAAATTCTGCTTTTAGAAGTCTTGAACTGACAAACAAATGTTTTGAACAACTTTTCTAAACAATTTGATAAGCTTTTGACTTGGGTAGCCAAACAGTAGGCTGATTCGCGCTGTTTATGCACTTCTTTTATTGATAATTATATGGAAAATCGTTTTTTTAATAGAGGCGGTGCATGCACTAGGCAAATAAGCAAATAGAATGAAAAATATTTCATAATGCGAATTCGAAAAAACAGAGCTTTTTTAATGAAACATCTTTTTCAGTCCAATAATCTTATTTAAAAAATACCCATGAATAATCATAAAGACTTTGCTTAGTGTGGTGCTTTAATGCGATCTCATATAAAAGTTGCAACGCATATTTTTAAGAGCGCCAAGTGGAGGACCACGAATTCGCCATGGATTTGCAGAGACAATGGCCGGCAGCTGTCGCACCCAGCAGGATTTGGTTTCGTCCCAATCGCAAGAAATACACATTCACCAAAGATTTGGCAAGTGATACTTTTTCTTTGTAATCACTGCCACAAATTTCACAGCAATAAGGCAATTACTATTAAATTATTACATTAAGCTCTCATTTGGCCATGTTGGGACAGCCCACATATTTTTTAAAGAAAACTAGCCCGTATGTTTACTCATACTTCCAAAGTCTACATAAGTTTACTTTACTATACTTTTATTTTCTACCAGAAAATGAAGAAATGACAGTTTTCAGTTCTGAGGCGATCAATATTAGAAGCTGGTGCAAAATATAGATGCCCAAGTCTTTACTGTGACAAATCAATAAATCAATAACTTACACTAATTGACTGAGTCGTGTAAAGTGCGTTAAGGTTAAGTGTAGTTGTGCATTTGCACTAAGTCTGCTAATCATTTTGGGAGATGGGAGAGCTGAAGGGTGAGGATATGAATTAATAGGAGATAGAATTGTATATCATTTTATTACAAGGCTCCCTTCCCAACTAAGGGGTTTTCTATGGAACGTTCTTCGCAGTTTCATTTTAGGAGTCGAATGTCAAGAAACTCGGTTTTTAAGAAGGGTGCAATATTGTAAGTATCTTAATTGGTCTGGTTATAATTACTAGCAGTGGGAAATCATCGTATTCTGCACAATCGAAACGATAAATTTTGTGCTTTCATCCAATTTCAATTAACATTTAAAAAATTGGACTTCGATATTTAGAGTGTCTCAAGTATTCGCTGAAATTTTGATCATAAGTACCATGAATAAACTCTGCTTTTTTTGACAGGATCGACTACTTTCAAGCAAGGACACAATCATTAAGGAGGATATGCTCTACGAGAACATCTCGTTTCCCGGGATTTCTGAGGGTATAGTGATGCTGAAGCGACCTCATGGAAAATGGTCCAAAGTTTTATGCTTCCTCGTTATGTCGGCTATCTTCTTCTCTAAAAGATTCTTTGGTTATGTAAGTCATATTCGCTTCGAATAAATCCTACAATTATTTTTTATGGTGTATCATATTCTTCAAAAAATTTGAGGAGGCCTAACCAGTTTCAAGTGATTGCATTTTGAAACCTCATTTAGTTAACAGTTTAAAAACAGCGCCATCTTTTCCTTGAACAATTACCTCAATATGGCCTCTTTGCACCGCACTGTTTTCGTCCCAATTTCAGTGGGGTGAGAATTTAGGTCCTTCCAATTTTCGAATTTTTAGCCGAGACAGTCTGTTCTGGCCCAGAACTTCGGGAAACTAATTAATTTTTAATTATTTTTTACTGCCTTTCTTTTCAATTCTTCCTAATAACTGTTGGCCAAACATGAGTTATTAGGTAAGGGAAGTGGGAAGACTTTTCCCACCAACCCAAATGCAAAGGCTTCACAGATGCTTAATTTGAAAATTAACAGCTAGCTCCCTTGAGAGAGCTAGAGAGAAGAAAACTAAACATACAGTCGGGTTCTGCTAAATGATAAAGGGAATATAAACTCCAATGTCTCCAGATAAGCTTGAGATCTATTGTGGAATACACGTAATTAGAGTTTTGGGTCGACGAATATTTTCATAAATCTTGAAGGTACCAAGACTGATGCTGATGAAATTTAAACATTTCCGAGAGCCTTCTAGGTTTTCCATTTGCAACGATACGTACATGCACCACCTGGAAAAACATATAACCGGGTTTAAATAAATTTATAAAAATATTTTGAGGATACAAACTCATTACGTTGTAAAATTCTTTCAGCCCAATGGTTACATCGAGAAGATAAGCCAGTTGAAAGCACATTTTGTTTATTGTGTGAAATAGGGGTTTATATTTAAAGGGCTAGGTTCAATTGATTTAATTTCACTAGAAACTTGTTACCTTGATATAATTGCATTCCATTTCAAAATGTGCTGTTTGAAGGTTGTTAAATGATGAAATGAGATTACTTAAACTCCTCCCATATATAAATATGTTGAACATCCTTTGTAATATTTTCCGTGGTCTCACGAATTGACGGGAAGGCTGCAGACTCTATTATTTTTGGACACAAAGTATGTCCCGAAAATCCCTTCTTCATATTATAGTTGGTGAATGTAATTTTATGTAATAGACTTCAAAGCTGCCCTGAAGTGACGCATTCTGGCACTTTCCAGTATTTTGACTTCTGATAAAATAATGCTAGCAGTTTAACGACTTGAGGATAATCTAAAAAGTCTTGAGAGCCATAATCACTTGCCACGATGACGTTTATCGCAGCTTAGTAAATATTTGTAGTTTTATATTGCTATTTTTATAACCAATTCTTTGTATTTACTTTTCAAGTCCAAGAAAAATTCAAAATATCTGTTGGATTTAACAAGTATGGACGTTTACGTCCCTCAAGAGAAGACCGATGCAACTAAACTTCTTCACACACCGACACCTCACACCTTACTACTTGTGGTATGTTAGTAGCATACTATTCCCCTTGAAGCATAGCGATTTATTTCAAATACCTTAATTTCAGCCCTCCTCAATCGGATTACTGGACCCTGATTCAATTTTTGCGATCGGTTGTAAAACACGTGAATCCATGCTTTCGTGGGCTGAAGGATTGCGATTTCATAAGGTGCGTTTGTAAAGTTCAAATTCAAAGAAATAAATGAACTTTGTATCGTGTCTGTAAAAGGACTAATTGATACTACTAACTTATAAACCGTATAAAGAATAGTAATGAATGGCATTTTACCATTAAATTTTTTAACTGATATATACTTTTTTGCTTTCCCATTTTAGCATGGACAGCGAAAATTATCCGAAAACCTTGAACATGTGCTAAATCATTATTTTAGTCCACAAATTGAAGTAAAGTAACATTTTTTATGCATTTTTTTCTACTTACTTGTTCACTCAATTCTTCGAGTTTAGGTAACGACGTGGAATCGTAGTCCACCAATGGGAATCCCAAATGAAATTACTAGGAGTCAGATCATCACTCCTACTAATATGGTAATATCATCAAATGACCTTTTTAATAGTAAAAATGGGGACTAACTCTAGCAAGAAAATATACATATATATATATATATATATATATATATATAAGTTTATTAAAAAAGTTTGACTTCATTTATTTTGAATGAAATACTTAAATGTTCGATTTTTTATTTATTTTAACTTTAGGTAAGGCAGAGTGGAGCCGTGGATCCTAGAGCATTTGATTTCAATACGGTAAGCATCGGCTCTGGGTGATTTTGCATATCTGACATATTCCCACTAAAGCAATGCGAAAATAACATTATTGTGGGTGATAACTTTTAAGCACCAAAATAGCACCAAGCAGTTCTTAGGAAAAGTGAAATCGGTAGAGAAGAGGAGATTGCAAAGCCGAGTCCCTCGGTTCATCCCCTTCTCGCCACTTATTTTCTTCTCGGGTGTAGTGAAGACCTCATAAAAGGAAGATCAAATTATAGTGCAAATGGATTTAGTGATCTAATTTCGGATGGCCATGGCTGGGAGGTGGGGGGGAGGCAAGCTTATTACCCTAGGAGCAAATGACAATAGGTTGCAGAAGGATAAACTGAAAATTTTAGTCACTTCGTTTAATTACCATGGCAAACGCATTAACTACTTTAAACTATTTCCTTGGCTCTGGCCTATTCATATGTTTTAGGAAACTCCCAGCCTATATAAACAAAATCGCAATTCACAGGGAGATTGTTTCGACAATGACTACCAGGTAGAAAATTCAGAAATGTCAAAAAAGGGGCGTTTCAAAAATTATGCTCAAACCTTTTTTGTTTTTCATTAGTCAAGAGATGAAAATTCAGCCACTATGCCCCGTTGGTCAACTTGCAGTTCTGAGGTAACTTTAGATTAATTTTAGTTCTTCAAATTATACCTTCAAGAACTAATTGAGATTTGATTTTATAAAACCAAGTATATGTACAAGCAAAAAAGTAAATGTTTCCGTAAAATTCTAGTAAAACTCATTATTTTAAACTTTCGCAAATAGGTCAATCAATCCTACTTCCATATCCATGGTACTTTGGGGCTTGACGTGAATTCCACTGGAAGTACGTTAGAAGTAAGTAAAAGTTGGCAAATAAAACCTTCAAAAAGCTTACTCTTACCATCATAATCATCATTTAATTCCTAGAATAGCGTAGAAACTAGGTCGTTCTCTCCAATTGTAAGTTATTGATATTTAATTTAAAACAGAGTAATTGAAATCTTTTATAAAGCGTGAAACACTGATTTTTCTCTAGTCGAACAGTGGACGATCGTTTTTGCATGAGGAAATGGTGGGTCGATCGAATGCCTATGAACAGGAGAACGCATTTGAGGGGTAAGCGTTGAACTATTTACAATATTTGGCATCTTTTGACCGTTTAAATTTTTATTTGTATTTCAAATTGAACTTATAATTAAGTTAAATATTTCTCTTTTAGAATTGTCTTTCAGTCGGGTGTTCCTCATCTTCTAATAGCATTACCAGATGGAATCCACAATTATTTAATAGAGGTGAGATTAACTTTATCCATTAATAATGGGCCACAATTTTATATGAAATTTCGAATTAGATATGTCATTTACGGTATAGAGAGAGAGAGAGAGAACAAATAAGTTTCAGAATAAAAGATTTCAGATATCGAAATGGAAGTGTAGCGAATTGTCACACAAATAAGCTCTGACTTAAGCCCTGTTATCTCTATGGCAAAATAACCTAATACGGGTAGGCATCCGAAATGAGTTCGGTTATCTCAATAGTATAGGAGAAGCAGACGTATAGTGGATATCGCATTTATTGAATTTTTATGCATACAGCAAACGTGCTTAGCAATTGGATGCATTCAACATTAGCTTGAGCGCACATTAATGGCTGATTTGCCGAGAAGCCCTCAGCACTCATGGCAGCTTCCTCCAGAATGTTCGGGTGAGTAGTTGAATCATGTTAGGAATGCGCACCCCACAGGTGTATGTAAATGTTGGATCATATGACTAATAATTTTTTCTCATTTATGCGTGGCGAAAAATGAGTGAATTATAAAACTACGTAAAATAAATTAATAAGATTAGATTTACTTCTGAAGCGGATTCGCTACACTAAAAAGCCTTGACTATAAAGGGAAATGCTATCGCGATGATAAAGAGAGAAGGAAGACGTGTTGCAAGAGAAATGGTTGTTGCAAATTATGATATCGGCAAAACCAAAATAGTTAACAAATAAATCTTCCATAATTTGAGTGAACATTAATAGCTAAATATCTCTAGACACGAACGACCGCACACTCCAAAATGTTCGGGTGCGCATTTTATCGTGTGAGGTTTCCGTGCATCACACTTCTCGCAGATAATACCTAAGCAAGGGGTGTGCGATAGACTTACCTCCACGTGGTGCACCCTGGGCAACGTGTGCTAATACGGCAAAAAGCCTATTAACTGGCAGTTGACTTCTCACTTCAAACTACCATCACCCCACTCTATGTCATATTTGACTACTTCCACGTTACTCGCCTCACCTTTTTTCTACCTTTGTGTTTGTCTCTTACATCTTTGAAAAAACTCTTCTATTCCCCCTCCCCTCTCGACTTTTTTCAATTTGATGTTCCTTCCCCTCTGTGGAGCTTGAAGTCAACTAAAGGGCTAATGATAACTACCATAAAGCCTGACATTTGATACAAATAAATAAATACCTAAGCAAAAGAGACGCCATAGAGCATATTTAAAAAGGGACCTTTAATACCAACATTTTGATATTAAAGGTCCATTTGAAATCGATTTATAATAACGATACGGCTATTTAACTATCACAATTTTCGAAATTGAAATTTGAGAATCACAGTTAGCGGAAGAGAACATTTCCACTAAATTCTAATTTGATAGTCTCTTTTACAAGTTCAGATATTGGACTTTCAAAGAGAACTGACCATTTTTCTCAATTGACAAGAGATTACTACTGAATGAAATTATCAGAAAACTTTGAAAAAATTGCGCATCGGAGCATTTTCTAGAAAATTTTGATCATTGCTCCCATTTATTTAAGAAATAAATTAATCTAGAAGCGTAAATAATTATGACATGAAAATTGTTTTACTCTTCCTAAGTTAAATGTTCAAAAAGCACCTCTCATCCCAAATAATGAGATATTTCTTACGTTTTTATGAAAATTCAAATGCAAGATATTTTCGATCTTGACTTTTAACAGGAAAAAAACTATTGTTGCCCATGAAAAATTTTATATTCTCGGGCATCATGAAACCACATGGGCTAATCGATTCAACATTTAATCGGACATTAGGTACGGAAAATTCTTAAGTGGTTTATCAACTTCAAAGCAAACTGAGAAGGACTATACATCTGGCGATTTTACAGGCGTCAGGTCTATAATTTAACCATATGCATTTTAGGTGAACAATGATCGGGGTTTTGACGAAAAGCGCTATCAACTACCCTCACGACCTGAGAGATTCGCAACTCTGTCTGATCTTTGTAGCTTCTACGAGAAACGACGTAATCTCCTCACGGAAGACGAAGGTTCGAACGAAATAAGTCCATTAAGTCATTGTCCTTCGAATCGAGATGACCCTGCCACAGCATTCTAACGAGAGCAGCGCTTTCAATCTGAACAATTATTTGAAATTCATATCGCCTTTCTCATCACGCTTTGTTTAGTCGTTGATACCATGCATAATTTCATTACTTAATGTGTATTTTAAGGTACAAATTACTTTTAAATTCATTCGCATATACTAAATTAATTTTATTGTGGTAAAGTATCTGATGGAGGGTGAATCAAGGGGATGTTGTGCTACAGTCACTTAAGGAAATTGCCGTACTCTGGCAATCGATTTTTTTCGTTTAATTGGGGGGGGGGGGGGGGGGGGGGGGGGGTGTGAGGGGGGAGGTTCATTGCCTTGTGGTCAAAAAAAATCGAATTGAATGCATTTTTCCCCTGGATCCGTGAAAAATTTCATTCGCCTTTTATCTTTGTTGATCCATTTGAAATGTTTGGTCTTGCCCTGTCATGGAATTATTTTCAAGGTAACAGGTTAGCACTAGCCTTCAATAGGGGCATTTTATGCTCGATATGTTAGATAGACCTCTACTCACTTTTAAATATGAAGCCCACTTGATTTATTAAAAAAATTCTTTAGGAATGAGAGATAATAGATTGCAGTTTAAGAAAACGAATAGGATTCCGCATGCATTCAGTGAAAATTCTAAAATCTTTCAGGTCAGCTTATCGAAATCAGTTGTTCTCCTTCACAATAATAGAGCTTTTCAAATTTGTGGAAAGTTACAGTCAGCAAAATAGAGGCCGCAAATATTTCGTTTTTTTTTGGGGTTAATCGAAATATGCGAATCATTTTACTTACTTATTGAAGCGAAAGATATCTCCATAAATTAATTTTCCATCTACCCCAATTCCACGGCGGTAAGTCTATAGGGTACTATATGGTAGATAAAATTCACATATTCGATTTTAAATATTATCAAAGCTAACAATTATTCAAATTATTGTTTTGTTTATAATATATGTAAATTTATTGCAAAAGATATACAAGCCTACATAGAAATATAACCTTGAAATTAACCCCCTAATTAGATCTTATTGACAATAATGTATTATTTTGATCGATGGAAGTTTTACATTGATTTTAAGCAGCTGAACCCTCCTAATTACAGCAGCATTCATCTACTACTTCCACTGCGCCTATCATTATTACCAAAAAATATACAAAAAATCCATCGAGACAGAATACCGCCTCTTTCACTATGGACGATATTTAGACTAAAAGTACCTGCTGTTGTTAGGTTCAAGCCATAGCTGGAAGAGGTAACAGCTGCGGTGAAGTCGAGAGTTTTCTCACGCACCCC